GCATATTTATTGTGTAAATAAATACAAGTTTTAGAAAAACAATCATCGCTTATTAAACTTCTTCAAAATCAATAATTCACTTACAAATAAGGCACAGTTTTATCAAAATTCTTAAGAGCGGTAAATTGAAATCTTATCACCATCATTTAAGAATACGAATGTAACTTAACTATTCTCAATGGGAACTAATATAGTTTCACAAAAGTTAGATAAAAAGGCGGTGGTTCCGTGGTCAGAACTGTTCTTTCTTATTCAACGTAGTACTGGATGTTGTCTTGCATGCATCCAGGACCAGCCTTCATGGCTGATGATGTATGCCGATGATATAGCGCTCATTGATAAGAGCCGTGTAGAGCTGGAGCGTAGGGTGAACCTGTGGAAGGGTACGCTTGAGAACGACGGTGTCAAACTAAATGTCGCGAAGACCGAGTATATGGCTTGCGGGAGTCCGGACTCCAGCACCATCCACATAGGGCTTGAACCAGCCGTTAAGTCGAAAAAATTTAGAAGGCATCGATCACGAAGTTAAGCCTATATAAGGGAAGCTGGAGGTCACAGGTGTGGTCTGTGATCGCAGAATACCGTCTAAGCTTAAGGAACAAATAAACAAGAGCATCATCCGACCAGTCCTTTTATACGTAGGTGAGTGCTGAGCAGCGCTATCGCCACACATTCCGGAGCTTCACGTCACAGACAAGTTCAGTTGAAGAGCATCTTCTAAGGTGGTGTGGCCATGTCGCGCGTCACAAAATCACCATCGCTGGATGAATCTGTAAGGTTCAAATCATCATAGGGTTTTGTTCAATCGTTGTCATTTGTGTCGTTTGTCTTATTATTGTTAATAACCATTTCTGTTAAATTCTCTGCAGATTTTTCTGAATTTTTGTGTTCGTGGATAGTAGGGACTGGACTTTCTATAGGTTTTACTGGCAGCGATCCTTCAATAAGTTCTCTTACATGATATCCGTAGCTGTCTTCATTGGTATTATTATTTTGTTCTGTTCGTTCAATTTCAGCTTTAATATGGTCTTGTGAACTCATGTTCGCCATGTGACTAGTGGCTAAATTTATAATTTTAGTAATTCGAGATTTCGGAAATGATAATAAAAATAAACGTCTGTAAGAAGGTACACCTACCTGATTCAGTTCGGCAACTACTAATTGCAACTGTCCGTGTGGTGAAGGATTGAGAATACTGAAAGTCACCAACCCTACACTCCGAGGGTGTCGTAAAAGACGACTAACCACTTGACAGTCCACGCGCTCATCTTATTTGTTTTTGAAGGATCAAGTTCATGCAAAACCACTGCTCCAAAATCGCGAAAAAATTGCATACCATCATAAAACCCAAAACCAAACCAAACCAAATCCCAAAACCACAAAAGTTAAAAGTTTATAGGTGTATCCCAGCACTTGTATCATTTAGCACGTCTTGTTCTTCATACATTTTTGATTTAGATTTGGTTTGAGTTTTAGATACAATTCAATTTATATTCGTTTACACATAAAGTTTGATTTGTACAGAATTAGGATTAGTAGGTACATGTTGAATTTTACCCTAAACATTATTGAGAAAAATCTGTTTAAAGTGATATAACTCTAATAATATCAATATTCACGATAAATTTACAAAAAAATAAAATGTGATAATTAATACAATCGCACTTATACCACGAAGCACGAAAAATAGTATGTGCATCAATTACATAAAGAGGTTACAACTTGAAATATATCTATATTCACGATATTTTTGCAAAAATCCTGCCACTTATATCACTTTGCACAAAATTATCTCCGAAACTATAGTAGATAGAAGAACGTGAGTTAGACAAATAAAATCCTAATTTTTTTCTGATTATTTCTATGTAAAAATCACAAAAAGGGTACAACTCGACTAATATCACTCATCACAGGAGGCACAGATATTTTTTCACCTTATTTTGACTTAATATCGAAAAAGCACTCTAATTTTCAATCGAAAATCGCGTCAAAATATCTGCTTTATTAAAAAAAGTCGCTGGGCTTTTTGTTCGTTGAAATCTCTACTTTCTGATGGTGTAAAAAAAATACATTACTATGGTAAATTTTCTCAGAAAATGCAATTAATTAAGTTAATATGACATCTACAATATTTTGAGAAAGTTGTAGTATCTTCTTTAAATTATTTGCGTAGATGCCTATTTATTGCTATTTAAAGATAACTTATATACAGGAGTGACCAAAGGAAAATTTTAGCCCATCAAAAGGTATGTCATAGAGAAATGGGGAAGGGGCTAGGAGGACCCCGATTTCTGATCGCCCGTAAATTTTTTTTCTTTCATTTTTGTTATATTCTTTTCCTTTTTCAATGGGTTTCATTCTACTATTATTATTTTTTCATTTTTTCCATTTTCAAAGGCTTCAGCCCTGGTCTATATGGTTGAGCATATTATACAGCGCTTAGCTTAAACTGGGCGTGCTTCTATCGAACGTCGGCGCACCCTGGTAATAGCTAAAAGTCGGCTTATTTTATTTTTTAATATAATTAGGGTTCGGTGTAAAAAAATTAAAATCCATGAAATTGTGAACAAAATCCGCGTAGGTAGTAGATACCTAAGGATGCACCCAAGCGAATCGAGGATAAGTCGTCTGTCTACCTATATGGAAATACCTATATGGTATTTAAAAAATCTGGTTGATATTGTGTGCAATGTGCAATCTGTTGAACAATAATAAAAAGTGTCCGCTAAATAAAAATGGACATTCGGAATTTTTTTAGTCTTCATGTGGTGTGTAGGGAAAAACAAGCACGGGGGACCAGGTTTAATAAATTTCTGTTTTGAATTTTAAAATTATTATTTTAAATTTTAATAAATATTATTATCACTTAAAATCAGTACATGTTGATAAAATACTGATTAACAGAATCTTATCTACGTTTGACCGAACGTGTCATATCCCTTTCATGCATCTTATCTTAACACACGCCATAAAAGCTACCCAAAACCAAAATCTTAAATCTATATATTATGTATATAAAACAAAGTTGGGTTCGTTACAACCACAGAATAACTATTAAAACATCGGAAAAACTCACGAAAAAAAATCCATACTAGGGACAAACCTGAGCGAAGCGAGGGCAAGTCGCTAGTTTGGTATAAAATAAACTTTACAAATTGCATAACAATAATATAGGGCATTTATTTAAGCCATCATTAAGCTTTTTATGCTTTATAATTTAAGCTTTACATAAGAACGACGGATGAAAGTAATAATTTAAAAAAACGATACTTAATTTAATAATATAACTAGTGTCTTGTTTACCTATGAATCATAGTACGGAAGATACTTTTATTAAAAAGAAACTTTCAGAAGAAACTTACTTTAGTCAGACACAAATATTTTATCTACATACTAGCGATTCACCCTCGCTTCGCTCGGGTTCGTCCCTAGGTTGATTCCCCGTACAAACTTTCATCCCCATTTTTACCCCCTTAACTGATTATTTCCGGGATAAAAAGTATCCTATGTCCTTCCCAGGATCTCAAAGTATCTTCTTACCAAACATCTAATCGATTCAGTAGATTCAGAGATTACCCCCTACAACGTCACAAACTCACAATTCACAAACTTTTCCTCTTTATAATATTAGATATCTATATATCTACGAAATAAAAATAATTAATACCTACTTATTATGAAGTTATTCTATGATTATGTTACCTAATTTTGTACTTAATTTAATTTACATGTTACTTTGATGACTTTATTTCCCAGTTGAGTTGAGCAAAATTTAGTTGAACAATATTTTTAATCCAAGACAATGGATATCATTTGTTTCCAAAACACAAAAATTGAAGAAATTGTAAGCTAAAGCAATCTACCAAAATTGGCGAAATCACAATCTTTATATTTAAGGCTATGTGGACATCATTTTAAAGAAACTGACCTTAAAACTCTTAAATCGTCTACAGGTGATTTTTTTGTACTTTTTATCATATTAATTACAGAGTTTAATATAAACTTTTATACCCCATTTTACCCCCTTATGAGATTGAATTTCGAAAATTGCTAAAACACGTATCTATTTAATTGTATTGAAAAGCATTAATACCAAGTTTCAAGTAATTCTGATCATAAATAATTCTTTGCTCATTTAAACTTTATTACCCCATTTTACCCTTTTAAGTGATAAATTCCGAAAAAAAAAACAAATAAGTATATTTCTCATTTTTTACTACTACCGACATCCATAGTTGAGTAGCTACATTGGTAACACAAATCTCGAGTTCTTCAATCCTCAAGTTTCATAGGTGTCACTACTGCTGATAAGCTAAGCTAGTATAAGCTTATGAATATAGATGGCGTTGCAGTTATATAAACGTTTGTTAATTATTATTATTTTTGAAATTAAATCAAATTTTAAAATAAAACATAGTATGGTCTCTGTAATCACATATCTAATACATATATAATATATTATTATTATAATTTAAGTTTGTGGATTATGTACTGATCTGTAGATATATAATAATGTTAAAAGCATACAATTCGTTCGTTATTTTAATTATAATATATAATTACGAATAATATAATTTCTCGAATATATTATGATATTATTTAATTAATAATAAAAACAAATTGACGTTAGAATTTCAATTTTACGTCTTGGCAATACCGGGTGGGACTGGGAGGAGTTTAAACTAGGTAGTAGTAGTAGGAGTTGGTGTCTGAAATGCAGTTTCAGAATCATTGGAAGTCTATTTAAATTATTTTAAACAGAAATGTTTTGCTTTGTACTATTGTAATGTTGTTAATAAAATTAAAAAATCTAAGTATAATCTTTAGTAACTAAAAAGTAGACAGTTATATTTATAACCTAAATTAGTCATCTATTGAAGATAAATGAAGAGGTGACAAACGTTGTCTGGAATTGCATTAGTATAATACATTATATTACAATTTTATATTTATAATGCTACAGCTAAGTACCTACTTTATTGTTCTGTGATGACCTACAGTGGTGATAAAATCGGCAATTTTATTTGGTAAGTGAAATCAAATTAGTAACTGTTTGCTCACTGCTGTAAGCTACGTTTATTCAAGGAAATAAGAACACGCCCACAGCTTTATTAGTAGGCATAAAATATGTATAAATCAAGTTACTTGTCAAAAAATACATTTTTTTTATAGTAGGAAATCAGGGGTACTATTTTGATGTGAATAATGTCAATTGCCACCTATCAACTTTCACTCTTACATAAATCAGGTCATTTACAATGATCACTGGGTAAATTACAATAATAATAAATAACTTTAAATTTATACACATTAGCATAGCAATAATACTTTCTGGCCTCTTAATCTGTGGTTTATTATATGGTTATGATGCCCCGGAGAAGCAAGTTATATTTTTGAATTGGGGAAGTGGTGGTGAATCTAAATATATAAAAATATTTTGCAAAAAAGAACATAACATGAAGATTTGGACACTTTAATTTGCAACTTTCCTATATAATATTGCTATGACTTTGCCAGTTCTTCTGACTATTCTAATCCTCCTTAAGTATAAGATTTACCAACAATGTTCTAATTATCCATAACCATAACCAATGCTTTAAGGGTTAAAACAATTATTAATTGTTTAGTTATTTGAAATAAAATTATTACCTGATACTTAAAATGAATATTTCTCTATAATTAAAAAGTTATTCATTTTGAATACCCCCTACAACCACCTTTCTCTCATAACATATTGAAAAATCAACTACACCCAGGACCAGACCTTGATCAAGCTTGAATTTATAATACAGAACTATTGGTGGTACGGGTCTTTGGAGTGAAAACAAAAGGATACCCTCTTAAGGAGGTTAAAATTCTCTTGCACCTCCTACATCCATAATCCAATTGGAGATTTAATAAAAAAAATTTGAGATTTAATTTGATATTTAAAGCACAAGGTGTGAAGTTAAAAAAACTAACTAATGGTCAAGCTATAGAAGATTGTAATTTTGCTCTACAAAACTTAAATATCCATTTATCATTCCATACCATTACAACAATCCTTTCATATGAGCATATAGTTCTTTGTTTTTCAAAAAAAAACCTAATCTTTTGACTGTATAATTGACAATATTATTGATTAATATTAATTAATAATAGGAATATCAAGTTAAAACTTAAAAGTAATTATGTGAGATATCAGAATGTAAGCAATAACCTGTGCCAAAATGCCCTTAGATTAAGTTTGTAAAACGTAATTAAAATAGAGTTATACATTTTTATATTACTTCTAAGTTCTAGGTGGAGTAATATAGATTTATTATCAAATTTATTATAAACATTTTAGTATTTCTTAAATGCAACAAAGTCGTAAATTTTGTGTTTTTCATATTATACAGAAAAAATTTGGATCATAAGAAAAAAGTTAAACAGCTCTAACCGCTAGACCTAACTGCTTTTTTAATTGAAATTTTAACAGCTTACTCCAATAATATCATGGGATTAAAGATAATGAAATTAAATGACTCAAGAATGAAGAGTGGTGGCAATGTTTATGTAGAAAATAGTGTTTTTTAAATTTAAGATTACATAAAAGCCAGATAAAGTGGGAATCAGGCTACCAATGAAATTGCAATAATATAATTTTAATCTATTGAGGTGTACCTTTAATTAATATTAGGTAATTAAGATATTTTTTTTAATTGCAGCTACTTTGATTTAATTATTAGATATTACATTATATATAATAGATTAAAAATATTTTCTGTGACTGACATCAATATTTATTAATAAAATATTATGTACAACTTGTTTCAGATATTCTATCAAGTTTTTCTAAGCTGAGAGCTGTCGCTACTGTGATACCAAATCATTTGGTAAGTTATCTAATTAAGATTTTATAGTAACGTAATAATCGAGGAGAGTGGAACTTGTTTACTTGTTGAGCCTCTTACTGCTACTATATTTAAACAGCAATTATGGTTGTTGTCTTCTCTTCTTTTACGCAGCAAGGAATCTACATCCTGTGATATTAAGTAGTTATTTATTTATTTATGAGAAGACATTTAAATTATATAATTTATTTAATTAAAAGTAATTAATTACTATTTATATTATTTAATCATTTTTTTTTATTTATTTAATTTTAACACGGTAATGTAATGCATACAGTATTCCAACTCGGGTCTGTCCTTGAAATAATTACCTACAGCCGAGCGACACGTACCCACGCAACAGGGCTGCCCGAGTGCCCGCCGGCCAGTATTTTAATTTCATCTACCTACTTGAGTTTCTTTCTTTTTCTAATTTTGTGATTTCAAATATTATATTTTTTATTAAAAACTATTATTAGTAGATTTAAAAATATTTGGGCCACGACTGAGACGTACGAAAAGCTTTATTGGTAAATTTAATAGTATAAAGAATCCGCATTCGGATAAAAAGTTTAATTAAAAATACTTTAATTTTTATTTTTAATTTAATTAATTCATTTTTATTTTTAAAACATACGATGCATGTCTCGATACTTTTTTGTTTGACATTAGCGAAGTTACGGGAGGAATAAAATGCATATTTGTGTATTAAATTATAAAAGTTACATAACATAACGACCTTATACAATTTTCGTATTCAATTATACGATGTGGCAGCCCCGCACGGTTTTCTACCGAGTGTATACCGAACGCGACGCGTGTAGGTATAACTCGATTTCTGACCGTTTGTATGAAGATGGAATACTGTATGTAATATTACCGTGATTTTAATTATATTATGAAGATATTTAATTATGTTATGTCAGTAAGATATTGGAAAATTGCAAAAAGTTATTCTAATGCGAACTATCTAGTCCTGAATAAAGTACTAGCTGATGTCATTGTTGTTGACAAACTGACATAGCTACAAAACAATTATTTGCTCCACGAACGAAATGAAAAATATATTAATAGGTACAATTTTATCATATTCGTGTGAATTTTACACATCACATGTAAAAAATAAACGCACTGGTTCTCAGAAAAAAAATATTTTAGTGCCTATCGAAGAAACAAATCTTTATTTACATAGTTACAAGCAGTAGTCGTAAAGTCAAAAAAAATATATAGTTAGCATAGGGCGCACGTTAAATTTAATATTTTACGTTACGATATTATCAAAGATTACATTATACTCGTACTAATAACACTTACCCCATACAATGTGTGACTGTAGAAACGCATAACTGAACAACTGTTGACGTAAACAAAAAATCCTTTAGGAACATCCATCTTAAGATAACAAATAAAAAAAAAAACAAATATACCAATTTTTGTACATCTATTTGTTACGTATATGGTATTCTCTGTTTTTGTCGTTTCGTTATTTTTGACTTCACCTACTATAAAGATTCATATTAAAAATTTATCTAACTTTCAGCTAGATGCTTCCAATAGTCTCTGATTAGAATGGCACAATATAACTAAATTATATGGCCACTAGATCCAGAAAATGTGTGGAATGTTTAACAAAATATAAGAACAGATTAATTTAAAATTAAGAAAAAAATGATCACACGGCATCAGCCATTATCATTGATCAGAGAAATTTTAAAACTGGCATAATATATCATAGGATAACAATGGCATAAATAAAGGTCAAAACCTTTGCTGGAATTTTTTTTTTGTATAAGTTTTTTTTAATTAGCACTCTTTCTTCCTGATAATACTCTATGATATTTAGTACCGACAATACTTAGTAACAACTCATTGCGAATAAATAAAAATACAAAACGTAAATACTATATACTAATGGGTAATGGCTATAGAAAATTTAGGGTATGTACTAATCGTAATGCAAACTTTTTTTATACGTAGTATGCATACTTATCTAATACTTTGATTGAGTCATCAATACTCTATAGTCTATAGTATCCAAATTATCTTATCATTAAAACATCCGACTTAAAATGTGAATCATATTACGATCATGATACGTACGAGGAAATGCCAACAGTTGTACTGCAACCATATTTTTTTTTTCAAATTCACTCACCATTCAAGCTATCTTTAACTATAAAATATATGCATAAAAAAACTACGCCCTAATAAATTCTACTTACATGAAAGCAAATATGTGCAATTTCTTATCCAAAAACACAATGATTTTTAGATTTTTTGTCTGTTTGTCTGTGCGCGCTAATGTCAGAAACGTCTCAACCGATTTGGGTGCGGTTTTTATTAATGCATTGTGGTAAGCTTCTCTTAATATTTAGTAGGTACATATTTGTTTTATTTCAATCGGTTCAATCAAGACCCATCTAGCGACGAACCATAGCGAAACGAGGGTGAATCGCTAGTATCATAATATACTAAACATCCTACCAAAATTATCTAATTTAACAAAGCAAATTATTTCATAAGTGCATGCATGAAGTAGGCTTCAACCTAATTACAAATTTAACAATTTTATTGTATTGTATTCAGCCTTTTTTAACGTCCCACTGCTGGGCACGGGCCTCCCTTCAATGCGAGGGGGATCAGGCCATAGTCCACCATGCTGGCCAAGTGCGGGTTGTCGGACTTCACATGTCTTTTGAAAACTTGCTAGGTTCTCTCAGACATGTAGGTTTCCTCACAATGTTTTTCCTTCGCCGTTAAGACAAGTGGTAATCATGTTGGAAATGATTCGCACATGAACATATCAGAGATGCGAGACCCGGGATTTGAACTGGGTTCACTCGGTTTCCCAAGCGAGCGTGTTACCACTGGGCTACCACTGCCTTTTTATTATTTAACCTTATATTGAATAATTATATAATTAATGCTTTTGAGCAAGCGCAAGGTGAGCGCAGAACTCTGTTGAAACAGGTCCATACATTACTTATGTCCCTAGTTTGTAGGTACAAAAGTTAAATCTACTAGAGTTAGGTAAGTACCTCATTGCATTTTACATTTTGCACATAATGTAGTTACTTACCTACTATAAGTAGTTGAAATTATACAACCTTTAAAATCAGTCTGATGATTACCTTTCAACAGCTCACTATTCAATCTATACTATAATATTATAAAGAGGTAAAGTTTGTGATATTGTGAGTTTGTGATGTTGTAGGGGGTAATCTCTGGATCTACTGAACCGATTTTCAAAATTCTTTTACCAATAGAAAGCCACGTTCTTTCTGAGTGTCATAGGCTATATATTAACCCGAAGAATGAAAAGACTTTCACGGTAGTCGGATTTGCAAAGTAAGTCGGAGAAAAAACGGTCGAACGAAAACATTTCTTACGAACGCTGTCTTAACGATGAGAGATATATGATTATGTTCTAGAGAAAAGTTGTAGAGCTAACGAGTAATAAGCGTACAAAAAAGTCAGCGACAGCTTATGTCTAACATTTAAGTCACAAAAAGTAGTTTTTTATATTAAAAAATAATTTAAATCGGTAGCTCATGTTTATTGGTCATATTATCAACAATTATGAATTCTTATCAAAATAAGTAAAATTATCGTCTAAAATGCTTAAAACAAAAAACTTTTCCCTTTTACTGCATATAATTTGGACAACTGGTTAAAGAGATAATACGACATACACGTAGGTTTGGAACCACGACCGGGTCGTAACCTATTGAGTGATATTTCTTTAAGATGGTTTCTTTTTATTTAAAATACTAATACTATACGTTAATCTATCTATGCTAATATTATAGAGAGGTAAAGTTTATAAGTTTGTGAATTGTGAGTTTGTGAATTGTGAGTTTGTGACGTTGTAGGGGGTAATCTCTAGATCTACTAAACCGATTTAGATGAAATTTGGTAAGAAGATAGTTTGAGACCCTGGGAAGGACATAGGATACTTTTTATCCCGGAAATTATCCCTTAAGGGGTGAAAATGGGGATGAAAGTTTGTATGGGGAAGCAAGCTAGTTAAATATATAAATATGATTTGGCAGATGGATTGAAAAGGAATATTCTAAATCTAGATAATTTTGAAGAACTTGATACATCAAGTTCTTCAAAATTATCTAGATTTACATACATGTACGAATATTTGGCTTAGGTTATTTTAACGTTTAGTCCTTTCATCTTCTAATTATTCTAATAGAAAACATTGCACTGTTAGGGCCTATGTACATTAAGTTTCATGAACGCGTTGACGACGCGCATATAATAGACCTACATCGTCTTCGCATAATCTGTGCCGATAAACTTAAAAAAAGCAGCGTTCGTAACGATAAAAACGCTTGATCAGCGCGCGTTGAACGTGCGTCGACAGTGCGTTAAAAGTCGTCAAGCTCATAGGCCTTTACAATTATGTATACATAGTATCGTACTCTATGTACATACTTACGAGCCTTAATTACCTACTACTGGTCGACATGCCCTTAAAGTCCTTAAAACCACAGGGCTCCCGACAGCCACACATGGAGCGAGTATTTTTCATACAGGATTAAGGTAGTAATTATAATGAAAGAAAATAAATAAATAGGTAGGTATATCATTTATTTTCTTTTCCAAAAATATATTGTAAATTATATTCGTTTATATTTTGGTACATCGCAGGTAAGATAATCTTGTAATAAGTTGGTTGTGTAACCTTATCGTTTCGGATCTTTCCAGTGGTTACAATAATTACACTAGTTTACATGGTTTTTGTCCTTGAAATGAAAAGTATTTTTTCTTAACAATTAAGGTGAACTGAGTTAAAAAAAAATTAAATAATCCAACACGTCAAATTTCTAAGATATTTATTTATTTTAATTTCCAAAAAAATACATACAAAAGTATATAAAAAAAGTAAAAAGCCTTAGCTTTTTTCTTGTATTTATTTGCATCTGTGTCTCTTATAATAGACCAGCACTAGTGACTTAACATAGCCTGGTCCCAGTATCCTTGATAATTTT